CCCGAGGGTGTTTCGTGCATTAGACCCGAAGCTTCGGCCGCGACCACGACCCCGATGTTGTCCGCCACGCTGCCGCTTCTGTCCGTAGCCACTGCCACCGCTGAAATCTGTGCGACCGCCCTGTCGCCGAGTTCCACCACTGTCGGCGCCTCCACTGCCGGCATAGAGGGCTGTCCTGCCATCTCCTACGCCACCACTGACCCCCAACTCATCCCGTTGTTGTTCAATGAGAAGAAGGGCCGACCGAGTTTGAAGGAAAGTGGGGGGGCGGTGTTTGGTATTGAAGAAAAGAGGTTTGTGACCGAAGATCATCTGGGAGGCCACGAAGAACTTGTAGAACAAGTTGTTGCTCGGAGACGGGGACGTCTACATCGTCCAACCAATCCGCGAGATTGCGTAGGGTTTGGCAATACACGGTCATGGAGAGAGAACCCTTCATTGTCGTCCGGAATTGGTGCTCAAGTTGCATAGCCCGGGTCGGTTTGTTGTCGTGAAACATATTGTAAATAGATTTCCAAAGCTCCGAGGCTGAATTTGTGGTGGAGAGGACGAGATCGCAAACTTCATCGTTCACCGTAGATAGGATCCAACCTTGGATGAGTGCGTCAAGTTAGAACCACTCGGAGTCGTTGTCACTTGAAGGAGAGCACTTGCTGGTGAGGAAATCTCCCAAAGAGAACCGCCGGATGAGAAGAAGGAAAAGCCGGCTTCATTTTTTGTAGTTTGGCTCGGAAAAACTAAGGAGGATCGGTACGTGAAGTTTCACGTTGGAGATGGTCGTGAACGCCAAGTGGGGGTTGGAGGAAGATGATTGAGCGCCGGTGACGGGTGTTATCTCAGACATGGTGACCGCTGAGAAAGAGGATGAAGCCTGCCTGGGGGAGGGAAACGCCGAGAGTCTGCCAAGGAGAGAGCACTACCGTGTGGGGAGGAGCCGCCTGGAATCGCCGGCGAAGAGGTACGACGAAGGAGAGAGGAGAGGGCAGCTAGGGTTTGCAGCGACGTTCGTTGGAACGTGAGAAACGCTCTGATACCATGAAGGATAATTAATTTCTGTAATTAACAACAGAGGGCTAACCCTCGTATAAATAGATACAGTAGAGTCCTAACTACGGAAGGTAACTATACAAGGAAACCTACCATGTGTACACGGATTACTACATTAATATTAAATATACACATACTATATTTAACACTTATGTTATCATTCCTAACATTTTTCAAATTCATCAAATGTTTTCAACTTTTTTTATATTCTATGAATTTCTTGCAATTTTTTCTATTTCTTTTTATATTTTCTAATAACTCCTTCCAATTTGTTCGCGTTTCAATTTCTTCCATCATATAAGTCTCCAATCCAATCCAAAAGAATGACTCTCTTTGTTTTCCCTATTTAATTTCGGTCGCAATATATATATATGTCCGTACAATGAGTTTTACAGTATTTTCGAACAACAAGTACTCGTTTACGAGTAGCTAAATACTCATTCTCGAGTAACTATATACTCATTTATATAAAATTCAGTTATGTTCGAAAATGAGTGGTGAAGAATTTTGGTTTAACTCAAAATTCCCGTAGTAGTAAAGGGAACAGACTAAATCTTTAAAAGATCAGTTTATCCCGTGTCGTCTCAAGGATCGGCCCAAGGGAAAGTTTAGTAAGACTAGCTAGACAAGTTTTACTCGTTGAATTGAAAAGTTTTCAATAAGTCGAATAAGGAAAGAGGATTGAATTTTATCTTTCAGAAATAAAAAGCAGGGATGTAATTATTGGTGAGGTGATGATTCTTTTTAGAGTAAAACACCGGTTACTTTTACTTTAAATTTTTTTCCTAGTAAGTAAATATCTTTTCAAATATTTACTTAACAATCGATCCAATGTCTAAAGATCAATTATCAAACTACTGGACTTGACTTAATTAAATCCCAGATTTCTCAAGAAATATAATTTTCAAGAATAGATTTGTCTTATCTCGATTTACAAATCTCAAGTATAAATTCTCAGTAATAAAAACTAGTAATTTGTCTTGACAATAATATAATTCAACTCAATGATTTTCTCAGAAAATTACCATCACCATTCCAATAATCACATCCCTAATGAACTTAGCAACTCATAATAAAAACCTTCAACACACATGCATCATAAGAAGACATTGTTTTCAAATAAAAGTAGAGAGTTGACAAACTTACTTCAACAAATCTGGAGAACTGGAGGTTCGGGCTACAATTTGCTCCGTGAAAACTCCAAGAAATAATTCTAATCTAAAATATGAAAGTAGCTTTGAAGAACTAGCCTAAAAATGGAGAAATTCGGACTTGAGGGAGGAGAGAGGCGCTGTGCAGCGTGTGAAATCGGAGGGGGGAAGTGCTGTATTTATAGGACTGGACGCGAAGCGTCCAACCCCAGCCGTCCGGATCCAAAGCGTCCAAAGTTGGACGCCTTACGTAGCTCGTCCATTCGCTGCGCGCCACGTGCCTTTCGTGGTGCCCAATCTTTGCCAAGCGTCCAAAGGGAAGCGTCCAACCTGCAAAGCGTCCAAGG